AATGATAATGATAATGATAATGATGATGATGATGATGATGATAATAATCTTAATCATATCCTTTTTGTAATCACTACCAAATCCTGCAATCTGATTGGTTCAARGGAGTGCGATTAATTCCCAAATCGCATCCTTAGGAGATCTTATTCGCATCCTAAAAAATTATTTTTTTGAAACAAAAAGTAAAACAAAATAAAACAAAAAAATCAACATAAAAAAAATATTTTTTAAGATGTTTTTTTTTTGTTCGCATTTAGGTCTACTATATCAAATTGATTATTCGGCACTTTTTCTTGTGTCTTTTTCTTGTGTATGATTACAAAAAGGATATGATTACGTGGTAATTGAACTTCGTGTTGTGCAATTTTAGTCTGAAATCAAACTTGCAATTACAAATCGCACTCCTGCTACGCGGTCGTGCGATTTTGTAATCGCGCGTTTGATTTCAGACCAAATTGCACTCCACTCAGTTCAATTACCATCATTTATTGCACATATAATTAAATCAAATATGCTCCAAGAAAACTCTCTCACATTGTGATTTTCAGAGAGGTCCTGGAATGAACTTAAAATGAAACAAACGGATAAATAGGACACTACATTAAAATAGATATAAATTGAGAAACTAAACTGATTATTTGAACTTGTGATATGGCAACTGCCAGAACTGTTTCATGCTTCAATATATTAGATAAAATGATCCTGTATCTCGAGTTATTTTACTTGCTTTGTGACTACAATATTATATGACCTAAACCTTGTTAAATTTCTAATAAACTTACTCTATTAGTTTTAAACACTGACTTAACCACTTCTTAATGCAAATGAAGTCAAAACTGACATTCATGACCTCAACTAATATTAATTTGGTCGGGGTAACCTTAAATAATCATGTACGTCCCTAAGGTATATTAGGAATTATTTCACCATGCAAAGTTTGCGGGGGGAAAAACATGGTAAATGCATTTGCCTGCGAACGTCTTATAAGCCCTTAGATGTAATGTTCAAATACGAGTTGCTGTATTCTATTGGGGTTTCAAAATCCTCGTGGAATTTGAAACCCCAATATAGAATGACAGTGACGAGTATTTGACACGACATCTTATACTACTAATTTTTGTTGTAATGTTTTTTTATTTTATTTCAAAGTTCTAGTACTTTGAAATATTTCAAAGTCCGAGAAGTAGGACTTAGAAATATTTCAAAGTACTAGAACTTTGAAATGGTCGTTTTTGATGGGGGTTTCAAACTACTGCATGTGGTACGAATAAGAAACCCTGGTTGGTCGATGAGCTCATGAATAATTAATGAGTATAAGCTATAACAATTTTATACGAGGCTTTTCATGCAGGGAAGAGCAACGTACAATAATCCATGCTTCAGTATGCCTCCTAATTTAATCACGTGCTTTCGCAAAGATAGTCGTAGATTATATGGTGCCTATAATTGATTCTTGTGCTTCTAAAAACTTTGGTTGTGGTAGTGAGGTCTGGATTTCATTTGATTCAGAAATGTCTCTGCATTATCTCAAACTTGAATCAAATCCAATAATAATTTCATCTTTGAGATAGGAGAGTTTCATACTGCAAACACATCCTGAAGAATGTATGTCATCCCCTAAAGTATAGAAAAAGATATTTATATATATAAGAGTAAAGAACGTTGTATATGCGGAGTACCTCATATAAAACCAGGCTTCATGAGCGTTTTGACACTCCTTTTCTCATATATAACGCCACCAAGTTTTTACTTCACAGTTGGTATTGAATTTGTTTAACGATTGAATTAGATGGATCACTTCATGAAAATGGATCATCATGACGTACTAGACTGCATGGTTCAGTTGGGGATTTCAGGAAAGGGATGGACTCGAAGCATGCTGAAGAATGCCTACACTACTTTCTTTGCCTTTTAGGCAATTACAAACAAACAAACGAACAAACGAACAAACGAACAAACGAACAAACGAACAAACGAACAAACGAATAGACAAACAAGGTTAATGTTTAGGACATTATC